GCCCAATCTCGCTGTTTGTAAGACCAATTTCATATAAGTGTAATTCTTCAAGGGAAGGTACACTAGCGATCGAGACAGGATGCAAACCGTTCAAATTGTTTCCTTGCAGAACAAATGTCTTTATCCTACCAGCTGATGAAAGAATAGAGAAAAGTGGCTCAATATCACTCTTTGTCAAACAACTATCAGTCAGCTCAAAATATTCAAGGGAAGGGACACTAGTGATTGTGACATGCTGCAGACCGTGCAAATTATTTCCACTCAGAACAGCTGTCTTTATGCTGCCTGCTGATGAAAGAAGGGAGAAAAGTGGCTCAATGTCACTTTTTGTCAGACCACTTTCACATAAGTGCAATTCTTCAAGAGAAGAGACACTACCGATTGTGACAGGCTGCAAACCATGCAAATTGTTTCCTCTCAGAACAACTTTCTTTATGCTGCGCACTGATGAAAGTAGAGAGAAAAGAGGCTGAATATCACTGTTTGTCAGACCACTTTCACATAGCTCAAAATATTCGAGGGAAGAGTCAATAGCGATTGTGACTGGTTGGAGACCGTGCACATTGTTTCCACGTAGAAAAAATTTCTTGATGCTGCCTGCTGATGGAAGAAGAGAGAAAAGTGGCTCAATATCACTGTTTGTCAGACCACTTTCATATAGGTGCAATTCCTCAAAAGAAGGTACGCTACCAATCATGACTGGCTGTAAACCGTGCAAATTGTTTCCCATCAAAACAACTTTCTTTATGCTGCCTGCTGATGAAAGAAGAGAGAAAAGAGGCTCAATATCACTTTTTGTCAGACCACTTTCACATAGCTCAAAATATTCAAGGGAAGGGACACTAGTGATTCTGGCTGGCTGCAGACCGTGCAGATTGTTTCCACCTAGAAAAGCTGTCTTTATGCTGCCTGCTGATGAAAGAAGAGAAAAAAGTGGCTCAATATCACTGTTTGTCAGACCACTTTCACATAGGTGCAATTCCTCGAGGGAAGGGACACTAGCGATTGTGCCAGACTGCAAACCATGTAAATTGTTTCCTTTAAGAACAACTTTCTTAATGCTGCCTGCCGATGAAAGAAGAGTTAAAAGTGGCTTAATATCACTCTTTGTTATACCACTTTTACGTAGGTCAAAATATTCAAGGGAAGGGACACTAGCGATTGTGACTGGCTGCAGACCGTGCAGATTGTTTCCACGCAAAAACACTGCCTTAATGCTGCCCGCAGATGAAAGAAGAGAGAAAAGTGGCTCAATATCACTGTTTGTCAGACTACTTTCATAAAGGTGTAATTCCTCGAGAGAAGGTACACTTCCAATCGTGACAGGTTGGATACCGTGCAAATTGTTTCCTATCAAAGCAACTCTCTTTATTCTGCCTGCTGATGAAACCAGGGAGAGAAGAGGCTCAATATCGCTCTTTGTCAGACCACTATCAGCTATCTCAAAATATTCAAGGGAAGGGACACTAGTTATTGTGACTGGCTGCAGCCCATGACAATTGTTTCCACTCAAAAGAGCAATCTTTATGCTGCCTGCTGACGAAAGGAGGGAGAAAAGTGGCTCAATATCACTCTTTGTCAGACCACTTTCACATAAGTGCAATTCTTCGAGGGAAGGGACACAAGCGATTTTGACTGGCTGCAAACCATGCAAATTGTTTCCTCTCAGAACAACTTTTTTAATGCTGCCTGCTGATGAAAAAAGAGAGAACAACGGCTCAATATCAACGTTTGTCAGATGATTTTCACGTAGCTCAAAATATTCGAGGGAAGGCACACTAGCGATTGGGACTGGCTGCAGACCGTGCAAAGTATTTCCCCAGAGAACAACTCTCTTTACGCTGCCTGCTGATGAAAGAAGAGAGAAAAGTGGCTCAATGTCGTTGTCTCTCAGACCACTTTCATATAGGTGCAGTTCTTCAAGGGAAGGAACACAAGCGATCATGGCAGGCTCCAAACCGTTCAAATTGTTTCCTTGCAGAGCAACTGTCTTTATATTACCTGCTGATGAAATGAGAGAGAAAAGTGGCTCAATATCACTTTTTGTCAAACCACTTTCATATAGGTGCAGTTCTTCCACGGAAGGAACACTGGCAACAGTGACGTGCTGCAGACCGTGCAAATTGTTTTCACGCAGAACAACCGTCTTTATGCTGCCTGCTGATGACAGAAAACAGAAAAGTGGTTCAATATCACTCTTCGTCAGACGGCTTTTACATAGCTCAAAGTATTCAAGGGATGGGACACTAGCGATATTGATATGCTCCAAACCGTGCAAATTGTCTCCTATCAGGAAAACTGTCTTTATGCCGCCTCCTAAGGAAAGAAGAGAGAAAAGTGGCTGAATATCACTGTTTGCCAGACCACATTCAACCAGTTGCAATTCTTCGAGGGAAGGAAGACTTGTCTTTGTGACAGGCTCCAAACCGTGCAAATCGTGTCCCCTCAGACCAACTGTCCTAATTCTGTCTGCTGATGAAAGAAGACTGAAAAGTGTCTCAATATCACTGCTTTTAAAACCACATTCGACAAAATAACATTCTTCGAGGGATGGAAATGGTTGAATGTTTTGTTCAGACAGTGTATCCAGCGAAACTTTCCCTCTTATTCCGACTTTTTGCGTGTTGGTTTTTGATAACAATTGGAAAAGTTTTGCAAGGTTCCATTCGCAGTTATGGACGTCTATAAAAGCAAGATATTTCAATATCCATGTGGAGTTATCCAAGAATCTCTCCCATTTGATGCCATGAAGTTCAAGGTTTAACGACGGCTTACATCGAATGTGCGTCAGTATATCCTCTAAAATATTGAAGTCAGCATCTCGACAAGTAGCACTAATTTCCTCTGTGTCAATTCTGTGCAGAGTTGCATGTTTTGAGGCGACTTTAAAGAAATAATGCGCAGCCGCGAGAACTTCGCCTTGGAGTTGATATGGAAACTCAACCTTCCCAGTTTCAACAAAGTATTTCACGAGGGATTCTGACTGAGCTTCAAATAGGAGCAACATCGAGATTCTATGTAAGGACTTGTTCATTTCATTTTGCTTCAAGAGATCTCCAATTTGCCTCAAAATCACCTCGGCGACATTTGTGTTTAGCCCACAGCAGAATCGCAGTACGTATTCCAAGCTTTCCACATCACCATACAATATACGAGACAAGTATTGATCAAAGGCGTCTCTGTCAGCCATTGACAAATCTACAAGATAATCCGCCGCGCAGTATTCCTGGAAAGTCTTGTGCAAAAACGAAAAATGAGAGACCTTCATGAGACCTTGGAAAGTCTGTTTTTTGGACAACAAGCCAACATCAGAGGCCCTTTCAAAAATCTCCAGGTCCTTTGAAGTGATGTCATCTTCACTGAAATGAAGCATTTTCCCATTTGGATTTAACAAACCTTTAAGAGCTATCCGACCAAGTGTTGAAAGGTGTGTCTCTGGTTCATCACCTTTCTTTTCTGTTTCTTTACTAGCCTTATGCTGGAAAAGCAGCTGAAACTCATTCCGAAAAAGGTGTGTTATTTGGTCAGATAGTTCTCCCTCATCTGCCCATGTGTGGCACATCAGCCACAAAAATAACGGTATCTCGGCTGAACTACGAAGCTTGTCGGATCCATTCACCTTTTTAAGAAAGTTGTTTTGATTAGCATGTCCAAAATTTTTCAAGTATTTCCGCACGTACTGTTCCCTGTCTTTCTCGTCAAAGCCCACCAAGTTAATTTTTGTGTAATGTGCATGCATATTTAGCAATTCATTTGCCGTCTTCTGTCGGCTCGTAACTATAACCTTGCACGACTTAAGTGATTTGAACGATAATACATCGTTCAAGTCAATTCCGTCTTCGCACTGTGCATCCTTTACTCTTTGCAAGGAAATCTCATCAGCGCCATCTAACATAATTAAAACGCTCTCTGGGTTTTCAATGATGTATTTTTCCAAATCTGAAAATTTCTTCTTCAGTTTCCTGTCTGTGAGAATTTGAGTAAAAATGGCGTCGATGATGTCCAATTTCTTGCCCATTCGATTGATCTCGACCACAAAGACAAGCTTGTACCTTCCCAGAACTGATGTGGTTTCAGGTTTTGGTTGGTTTTCATTGGGATCCTTCTTGGTTTTCAGATATAGATCAGCCCAATCGTAAGCAATCTTTTTAAGAAGTGTGGTTTTTCCGTAACCCGCCTCAGCTCTGATTAATAATCGATTTGATTCGAGTACAAGCATGTCTTCATAGGAGTCTAGTGAATTTTTTTGGACTTTTAACCCTTTTCTCCTTTCAGGTTGTAATTTTGAAGGATTACGAGTACCTCTTTGCGATGCTGTCCGATGCTCCGATTGCATGCCTGTCTCTGCCTGCATCATTGTCTCCGATGCCGCGGAGAAAGGTGTTGGTATGTTAGTCTCTTCTTCTAGCTTTGGGTTGATGTACATGTCATCCATCTTTCTAGACATGTGTCTCGCTGATGGGTATGTCGCCACTTTCATCGTCTCTCGGTAATGCGCTGCCAATTCTTTTGCACACTGTTCAACTTCAAAACGATGTCCTGGGATGCCTGTGCAGAAAAGTCATTGGGGTGGGGGTCAATTTAACTTGCAGCATATAAAACGTCGGTCTTCAATTGCTATTTTCCTGGCTTAAACAAGTTTAATTTTATTGAAATGAAAACTTCAACGAAAATAACCCACGACCCCTTGTTAATTAATGATTTCTTCACTAGATTGATTTTATTTTTGTCTTCAAGACAATAAACTGGCTCTCCCATTAAGGGTTAACTTGTCCGCAAAATATAAAAGCTTTCCGGATGGTCGCAGACGCCCAACATTGAACTAAAGAGGTTTGAAAGAAAAAAAACATACAAATTGAAAGGTCGTTTAGTGAAAACAAATCTATTTTGAAGAGCACTGGTGACCCGTGCTCTTCAAAAAAAGTTTTGCATCATTTGCTAGCTTAACGCATTTCTTTTATGACAAGTGTCTTAATAGGCCCCTTCTGATTTGCCTTTGTAAGCACATTGGCTTATTAACTGCGAAGCGTTTTAACATACGGTGTGCTTCACAGTTTCGTGTGTGTTTTGGAATATAAGTTTTTGTCCATCAGCAGTTGCAACTTCATGAACAGAAGTTATGCACAGCAGTAATTATCAATTCAATATCGAATTCGATTTTGTTTAAGTTTCAATCACTAGGCCCCTTTAAATGACACAGGGCTGCGACCTTTGTACCACCTATGAGCGACCCCAACATGGCCAGGACGCTCAATGGTCGCCTAAACCCAGACAATCCTGTTTCTATGTAACTGCTCAAGAGATCCTTGTGCCTCCCTTGAACCACCAAAACTGCAATTTTCAGGCATTTTCATGTCGAGCCACGAGCGACCTGTGCGTCCACTGAGCCACTTGCCTGCCTCCCCTGTGCTTCCCCTGTGCAACATGCAACAATGGTGGCTCAAGGGTTTCCTTGTCGACGTTCAATGCACGCTATTGGTCGGCCAAAGGAGGTACAAGGGTGGCAAAAATATCGCCCAGATTGACGGTAACATTTGCAACAGAACGGATCTATTACGTGGCGACCATTAGCCCTCCATTGTGCATCCATTCTGCAACCACGGCAATGTTTGTGCCTCCCTTCTGCCTCATTTGAGCCACCTTTGAGCAACCAACCTCAGTGGCGGATCCAGAGAGGTTCGTGCCGGGGGGGAGGGGCGCAACGGCTCATTCGAGTGAAAAATGGTCATGTTTGTCCGACTTTTTTGAAAATTTACGGCGACCATGGCGTCCATGGCGATGTCTGAACATCCTGTGTACCTTTGAATTACCTAGGCAACCATTCGGCCTCCTTTGAGCCTCCAACGGCGTCCTGGCCAGTTTTATGGTCGCACAAGGGAGGCCCATAGGTCGCAGCCCTGTGTAAAGTGGGTCTTAAGAGGAACAACTTATACAAAAACCCAAACCTTTTTAAAGCATTTAATCACTGTGGTATTACTTTTATTTGACGTCTAAAGAATCAGTGATGCAAACTAAATCAGATGGCTCGGGTCACTGCAGTTTAACCAAACCAGTCAAAGGACAGTACACACCTTGTACATTGACTTGCAATGCCAAGTCAGCACGGCCCGTATCTTTCAGGGCGTCTCTCAGCTTCTCAGCCGCGTCTGCGGGGTTGTCCTGTTTCTGCCACCAGGTATTTAACATCTTGAAGCTCTGCTGATTTAACTCCTCTCTGCCGTATTCGAATGCGTCGAGTTCTTCATCCAAGAATCCCAAATAGATGGCGAGCGTCTTCCACTGTCGTCCAAGCCGGCCTGACAAGTTTAAGAAGTATATGCTTCTCAACTGTTCTTCCTCTGGAATGCAAAATCATATAAAACAGTTTGCATTAACCAACTCAAGGGTTGGGTTAAACACGACCAGAAGCCAGTCGTACTGACTGATCAATCATCTTTTACCTTTTCAGCTAACACACGTGTAAATTGTAGTCGGGTACTCTACAACAGATGGATATTATTTTTAAAGCTGGTATATACGTGCTTTCTAGGTGTGGCACCCTGAAAAATAGATTTTCAAATTAAATTGATAACTTTCAAGCATTACATTATTTATGAACTGTTTAATTAGACATCTAAAAAACCAAAAACGGCCACGATAAGTAACCAATTAATTAATTTCGTCCTGCTTCTAATTCAGTTTTGAAGCCCGGTGGGATCTATTGTGCACATGCGCTTTGTAGTAGTGCAGTTATGAATACAAAAGTTAATAGCATATGTTTCAAGTATTTACATACGACTCCACACGTAGCTGTCATAATGTTTATGTTGGCCAGGGGGCGAGTTGACCTGACACCGTACATGCACAGTATACAGTGTCATACGTGTTGCGACCACTCACACAAAAACACAATTTGGAAAACTACGGGTATTAACGATTCAGTGCGAGAAAAAGACGCAAAAATGGCAGAGATTATGATGGAACGTAGGTTGGGTGCATGTAGGTCCACTATGATCGCGGGGCTGCCACTGTTGCGAACCTGCGCGGCCGCAATCGTTGCGTAGCTAGGATCGCACAAGGCTAATGCAAAAAGCTTAATTCCAAAATTAACATACATGTATAATGGGCTCCGTGCTTGCAAAAGTATCCCTTCAACGGCAAGAAAAAGGAAAGTTAGGGAGATCTAGACTGGTTTCCCAGTCCATCTATTAAGGACTTCGAATAGTTATGGGGGAGGATCGAGGGACAAGGGAGACCACGCGAGGACACTATGGCTTAGCTTTTTGCATATTGAATCATTTGTCTCATTCCTTCTTTTGGATAGCCGATAGAGGGAGCTATTCATTTATACAGCGATCACCATGGATACGCACTTTAAGCCAATCAGGAGTGATATTCAGTTCGCGGATCAAGCGCACGTTCATGGCATCGAAAGAACATGTTGATGGATTTGGAAGACGAAAATGCACGACGAAACCACCCCATTTGTTTTTACCCAAACGTGAAACATCCATGTATTCCAAGACATTTCACTTATAAAAGAACACCCACTCATCCTTTGGGTAAAGCCGCCGAGCTAACTGGCATCAAGGAAGCTAACTGGCATCAAGGGCATCATTTTCCCGACCTCTAATTATTTTCAGCGGCGTTACGCCACGCATCCTCTGTGCGTGTGTCGTTAGATGGTCACTTCCATTCTACTCTCGGGTGCATTGCATTAGCTCTGCTCCAGCACGCATACTTAGCCCTCGCCTAAGCCTAACAAATCAGACCCTATGTCGATGAACAAACTTTTCAAAGCTTTCACATTGTGGAGCATGCAAGATTATTTCACAGAAACCTCATGTGAAAATGAGGTTGCAGTTTATTTTCTTGAAATGAATACTTCCAACAAAATGAAACAGTCTATATGACTAAATATGGTATTGGGACGTCCCCGAACCGCGAACAACGAAACGGTATTGTGAATATTTTTGGAGTGTATCATATACTTACAGGAAATCTGCATATTGACCTTTCTTTCATATATTAAATCAATATTGATGAGCTATTCTTTCATATGCCGCTTGTACAAATTTTATAACGAAGTTCAGTGGGTCACGGTGCGGCGCGAAAGAGGTAAAGAGCAGTGTTCAGATTCGCTCGCACGAAGACAAATAACATTGTGCGTGTTTTGGCTGTAAGGGCATGTCAAAATTCAAGCATACATTGAACTAACACTATTTTTTTCAGATTTTATTACAATATTCTCACAAAATCATCTGAAGTTTCTGAACAAGTGTAGTTTCGGATATCAAGTGAACAATTTGTGCCGAGTACTTCAAATTACCAACATAACAGTGATTTCAATAATGACAAGGGGCACTCGGCATCAATTTCTACAGGCCTATCTCTTTTTTGTCGTTGGCAGCGCACGGACAACAGCTGGATTAATAAGTCGCACGTACTTAGTGCGCGAACCTGTAGAGTGTGCACACGCGGTGTGAATGTGTCCCGTCCACTGGCCCCTCAAAAATGGTTAAAAACGCCCTCCGTTTTGTTGGCGCAGGAGCCAATTGTTAAAACGTCAGTAGATTTGAATATTTATAGTATTTCGCTCAAAACGTTCTGAAATGAAGCGCGCTATTTAAAACCATGTTTTAATTCTGTATAAAGGCCTGCAAATGCAAACAAGCAATTTGTTTTTGTTGAAGGACATCAGATTTCTTTTAATTTCGTTCAGGAAAGAAATTTGTTTTTTGAAAAAGCACATATATACCAGCTTTGAGAGGAAAATAAAGGTCGCCGTGGTCCGTTTCTACAGTTTTATTAACATATTGTAATGTACAATTTGCAAAGGAATATTGCTGCAATTATGGTGAAACGTCCCTTTTTTGTTTTGAAAGGTGGAATTTTGGTTAAACACTGAATATAACTAATTCTGAGACAGTCTTTTGCCTCGATATTTACCTAATGGTGCACCGCCCAACAAGCCACCGATGCGAAGCTCGATGTTCTGGTCTTGTTGTATTCCATGATCACAAAGGGAGAGTAGGTCACACAGCTGCGAACCAATTTGAATGAAATTTCATGAGACTTCTAGAAAAATATAAATGTGGCACACTTCTTAGCCATTAGACTGACATAATATTTCCAAATTGTTATAACTGTATAAGAGAACCTAACGAGCTGGCACAATTTCGTGCCAGAAATTACCAATCATTTTGTGTTTTACAACATTTTGTTTTAAAAATTCATGTTACAATTACGTGGTTTAAACAATTTTGCGGGAAAAGACACTCTATAAAAATAAATAAAATTTTTATCCCGCCTTTCATCAACAGTTTTCAAACCAAAGAAATACTTCCTTTCGCTGAGTGACCAAAATGAATAGACTTGCTGTAGGCCTATAAATTATTTTTTATTAACAGTTCAGGTGACCAGTCTCTATTCCAATAATTTTAGTTGCACATACCCCAAACCACAAACTGACTCATGATTATCGACAGAATGTACTCTCCATAGCTATATCTATAAACATTCCAGGCTAAAGCCATACAAGCATGGGTAATACAAGGTCATTTGGTTGTACGAATTTGGATGCTGATCAGCACATTACACGAAACTTTCTTAAGAAAAGCACAATGCGCATGAACATTGGCGACAATTTTTAAAGTGGGGGGATATCATATTGTTCCCTCCCACACACACTTATTTTTTTTCCAGAATAAAATTTGCAGCCTATTTAATCATGTAGCTCAGAATACCTGATTCAATAACTCTTAACGCGAAAATGATGTTTAAATCGTAATATTTTGCTAAAACGAAGGGTTAACAAGGTCAGAAATTGCCTCAAATTGCACCACAGAGCGTTTAGAATCATTTTTTTCGTGCCCCTTTATAAGCGGGCTCAGAACCCCAAACAGTGACGGCTGAAGTCGCACTTCGCGCTCACGCGTTAGTTCTTATCTAGGTACGCAACCACGTTTTAGAAGCAATTGACGCCCTTGCGCATAAACTTGAACCCCTTGGAAGTCATTGTTCTTGGAAGTCACATATGATGGAGTCTTTAACTATCTACATTGGCAGAGCAACAATTCAATGTTTATTATGTGGATCTTTCAAATACAACCTACTCGCAGCGATAGATGTTAATTCATTAAAACGTTTACGAAATTATTATTGAATGGTTGTTATACGCTCAGATAAATTAATTTTTAAAATGTGACATCAATTTATTTCTCTTTCCAGTGTAATAGTAAAATCAGCACCTGAAAGTTTCTCCCGATGTAAAGGTGTTGATCTTGAGACTGGATGCCATTTTCATTTTGAATCAATGCCTTTAAATCAGATACGGATGTCTCCGGATCTAATTGCAGGCAAACTGTCTTTGGTAAGAGGAGACCTCGAACAAACACCTGCAATTTCCGTCTCACTTCAACGGGACTGCAAGTTGAAAACACAATAAAATATCCTGCATGAGATGAAACAACAAAACTCTGACAATCATTGTTTTCTAATCAGCAAATTCCTGAAGGGTTTTTAGTATACAGTTTTCACCTTTTGAGTACAAGGAAACGATGTCAGATATTCACCTCAAATTACAATGGATGTTTACATATTATATTAATATGGTTTGGGTAATAACGATCAATTAGAATAAAGAATATAAGAGTAAAAATATCGGTTTTTTTTGCATTGAAATTAACAGTTTGTTTTAGATACAGATTTAAGGTTGCTTGGAACTGTATGAAAAAGTAAACTGAAAAGGTACATAAAGATGCGAATGCGAAATTATTAAATGTGAACTTGTGAACATTGTAGTCAAGAAAATTTGGTGGTTTATTCTCTGTCAAACTGAATACCACTAATCATGGTACGACAAGAAGTGAGACACTACCATCCTACAGGCATGATACATGATGGGGATTTAGTAAACATTTGGTAGATTGAGATTTTGAGAACAATTTCCCCCGTTAGTACCTTTTCATTTCAGTTTTGCTGGTTGTATCGTCTGTTGTTGCAGTTTTGCTGTGCTCAGGATGAGTTACTGAAGCCTCTTTCAGTGGCAGGACGGATGCTCCATCTTCGTCAGAATGGAGTCTTGGCGAGGCTTTGACTGGAAAGGCGGCCATGAATGCCGCCTTACGACTTGGCTTAACCCTCCTCTTCGCACTGACGAGTTTGCTGAGTGAGTGGTTGTACTCCTCGGCCGTGATCCTAGCTCTACCCCGCCGACCAGGGCTGCCTTCCTGCATCTTTGTGATTGAAGTCAGACGTCAGACGATGAGGCTCAACTGATCTAGAATAACGATGAAAAGTTTTAACTATAAATGGCACCTAATAACTATTAAAGGTAATTTGCAGGTAATCATAATTTTGAAATACCGGAATTCCTCTAAGCATGTGGCATCTCCGAAAGAATAAGTTGCAAAAAGTATATACAAACATGCCGATACAAAGTTAACAGTTGAAGTCGGGATAGTTTAATGCCATGCAGTTACCATTGGTATTATATGGCTTGTTCGCGTCATAGTGAATATCACACTCCCATGGGATATTATGGTATCTGATAAACGCTCCTCAAGGCCAACTCTTGCCTCATCAACTCACCCGTTCCCAACGTACCCCTTTATCAATTGCCCTCCTCCTACCTACTCCCCTCGTCAACTCTCCCATAGCAATTAAGCTTCGCGCAAACCTGCCCCTCACAAACTTCCCCTAAATAATAATTTCATTGATCAATTTTAAGTCAATTCGTTTATCGGAAAATCATCAAATTGTGCGGACACCTACTTTTAATTACTGTGAGTGTTTCATAATTTGTGCAATATAATGCTGCAGATCCGTGCTTCGAACATGAAGGAAAGAAAACATTTTGTTTTTGTAAATATGCTTTATAATGACAAACTCATATTTTAATCATCGTCTCATATTAATATACACTTTTTTTGGTGTGAAACAACACTTGTAATAACCTAGATAGAATATAAAACCCAGAAGGATCTAATTTTCTAAGATGTGTTTAATCACAACACTGCACACCCCTTTCTGGGAGTAGAAGAGACACATTGTATGCGTTCGGCTAACATAACTACTCCCCCTACTTAGCAGGATATTAGTTATTACAATTCGGGCGATTCACAATGCAGTGTGCCACCAAGGGTTTGCCACGGAGAGTTCATTTTTACCAGTGCATTGTGGGAGATGGTCGACAAATTCGCAGCGCGGGACTTTGAAATTGTTCATTTTTCCGGTCAGTGGTTTTGTAAGCGTATAATTCGAGAATCTGTTTGCCCATTTCTTTTCGTGTTATCAATATGGTGTTTTTTTGTAAGGCGGCAGAACGCTATGCCCCAATCTATGACATAATAGCTCAAGTTGTCTACCGACACTCATTCCGATGGGCCATGTTTTGTCGACCGTAAACTTGAAAAATGGACTCTCCGTGGCAAACTCTTGGTGGCGCACTGCATTGTGAATCGCCCGAATTGAAATGTCACAAGACTTCATTAATTTATTGCTATTTAAATTTATACATTCCGAATTGAAATTCTAATCTAAATATCCGGGTGGAAGTAAGGAGGAAAAGGGAATCTGTGTGCCACTTTTATGCCGTGTGTCACGCCCCCCAAAGAAACAAATACAAATAAAATGATAATAAAATCAATCACAAAAGCAAAACAAACAAAACAAACAACAACACAACCAACCCCCGCCCAAAAAAGAAATCCTAAAGGGGGAAACCAAACCAATCAAATTTGAGTTAGGAGGGTTCCATTTTCAAGCTTAAAGGGCTTAAGAAAAGAACATTGAGAATCTGTCTTCAGTGTTGGTTAGGTCAGTCAATGCTGATGAGGGATTAAATTGTGGGTGACAAGCGCTCGGCTCTGCAAACCTGTCGTCATCACTTTAGTCCTTACTATAAGGCGATTTCAGAGAAATACTAGAGGTTCGCGTTTGTTGAGTTACAAACGCAGCGTGGTCGAGCGACAACTTATTCATTAAACACTGACGAGTTAAGTTATGAATATGTTTTGGTAAAAACAGAGGATCACAAATTTAAATCCTTCCCAGTACAATCAATATTTTGTTAAAAAAATGCATATTTAACGCTAAACATTCTGTGTACAGAAACAAGTTATTTCGGGTTTGATGCCGTCATCAGTTAAAAACGGTAATTGCATACTGACTTAGTTCGTCGATGATAGATGTCCACTGTGAAGTTAAAATAACGTATGAAAATATATATGTTTGTATTAATAGCACCTAACTCCTGGTTTAATGACGTCACACCATAGGAGATCAAAAGGTGGACATTGTAATGGATATCATTATTTTGGCTAAATAAGACAGGCATCAAAATGATAGAACTTAATTTAAAAAATAATCGTTTTCAAATTCTCCCTAAAGTAACTTCCTGTCTAATGACGCTATGAATTTGAAATCTTGCCAAGTTATCTGTGGTTTTTAACGGATGGATTTAAAATTGTAGAAAGCAAATTACATTTTATGTGCCGCTAGGGGAAGCCCTTCTGGATGATAACATCGTGACACTTTTTTGTGTCTTGCATTCCTCATTAAACACTTTTATAATTTATATCTCTGTAGTAAGCTATATTCAGTTTTTATTGCATTTCCGGTAACACTGAAAGTAAAGGTCAAGCAGTTTTGAGTCCGGGAACAGAAAATGTTTCTCAAGAAAAGTCTTAAACTTCACCAAGAAAAGAACACAATATTCTATTTATATATAGCGCAAACTATTTTGCCAAAATTTGCCCTTAAATTGCTTGTATCTTGATACCTGATAAAATCATGATGACTTAACAAAATAAATAACATCTTCTTAAAATGGTTCAAGTTCGTTTCAGATTTCATGCTCATCACGTAAACCGTTCTGAAGAAATTTCGCTTTGTTTTGATTTATTTTGATGTCTTCATCTTGAATTCACCTAACTTTGAACTTCCGGTAGACCCGAGATATTGGCTAAAAAATCAAATTTCTGATCAATCGACACTTTATAATTTACATATTTTCATGCCAAAGACACACATAGTTACTTCGTGAATGGTCTTCTTATGATACTTGGCCCTCAAAACATGGGTTTGGACTGCTTACTTGTGTAGTTATGTGCTTTATCGGCCGAGATATGCCAAAAACATGATTTTCCGGTATTAGCGGCACTAATTTGCATATTCCTATGCCACAGAAACATGTGGTCACTTCCAGAATAATTTTATTGTGATCTCTGACCTTGAAAACAGGGGTTTAGACACCTGATTTGTTCAGTTGTCTGCAATATTGGCTGAGATATAGTGAAATATAGATTTTTCGGTAACATTTGGATCACGTTTTAATACAGTTCTTATCAACGGTCATTATAGATTAGTCTCATGTTTAAGCTTTACCAAATGACCGCCACAAAATTATTTCATAAATGTTCATGCTTGAACGAGTGATCGAGTCCACACGGATGTTTTTGGAAGTGAGAGGTCAATTTTTGGCACGATATTTCTCTTTCACGTCATGTGATTTTGCAGTTTCCATAAAATTCCGAGGGTGATTTTTTAAGAAATCAATGTACCAAAACTATTTCAAAAACTCTGACTTTTATCATGTTAATTTCAGGCTCTATATACACGTTTTACATGTATGCACATTGTTGTTTATGAGACACTGTATAAAAGAAAACAAACAAACATGCTGGCTAGTAAAAATGCCCGCGGGCTAGTTAAGAGTCTGTTTCAGTAACCCGGCTGGTTAGTGGACAAAAAAGTTAAGGTCGAACCCTGCAAATGAAAAGGAACAGTGTCTATCAAAAGCTTTAGGCAATGAACGTTAAACCTGCTACCTGTATAAATTACTCGGCATTGTGTTCATGAAGGGACGAGTTGGCCTAAATCTACACTTTTTTTCGAAATTCTTTTTTTTTTCCGGGCGAAATCGGTTATTAAGTAAACAGCAACGAACAAATTGGGGAAGTTATGTTTGTCAAAATCAATCATTAGTTTCACCTGAATCGTATTTTAGTTTTCACGAACAGACACATTCCAACTTTATCACGTTGTTCTATGGGCAAAACCAACGCGCGAATAGGCGTTTAAGTTTTCACGAAGAGACGGAATAAAACGCGTAATGTGCGTGAGATAATTGCCCTGTAAAACAACGCGCGTGTGGCATTTTAAGTTTTCACGAACAATTAAAGACTATGGAGATTAATTAGTCCGCGTACTTCGCAATTATTTGTTCTTATATTCTGTAATTGGTACATTTTTAAGTTTATACATTTCAGCTTAATATCTGTATAAACAATGGTCAACAAGTGCTCCAAAAAAAGAGAAAAAAATAGGCGAAATCTTTTGACCAAAAGTGACCAACTTAAAACCCGACCCAAATTCGTCCCTTATGTTGCTTAAGGGGGGGGGGGGGCATTGCAGATTTCAAGCCAATCGAATGAAATACGCACAATGAAATACGGAACGTAAAAGTTCACGTGGCAATCATTTTCTTGACCATTACAATAGAAGGCTCAAAACTTAAAAGAGGGGTACACTTTTGGAAACAAACGGTTTGTTTTTTGTTTAAATCGAATATCAAAAGTTCAGCCATTTTGCGACATTTCATTTTTTTGGTCGACATGTACATGCTGGATCAGAATGATCTGGACCTATATTAAAGAAAAGCGCTAGCAAATAACACACGTATACTAAAACACTCTGACTACGGTTCCATGGTTCAACAAATTCATTGATATCGCGTTCTGATGTGAAGCAGTGCAATAAACAGCAAGAGCTGTATGTCTGTTTGAAAACAGAACACAGGGCTTTTTTACATTTTATAAATGTTTATGCTATGTTTGTCGTTTGCTGTCACTTTTTAGAGTGTTTAATACAGTTAAAGGTTGTTCACAATGCTTAGAATAATCCCCAAAATAAAGCCTTATCACATGACGTCACATGCCCTCCGATGACGTCATGTTGAAAACCCTTCTCATTACATATTTTGTCACTGTGGTCTTGGTTTGAAGCAAGGTTACAGTCAATCCGATGAAAGGAAGTGTGCAATTTTGGAAGCAGAATAGAATTATAAAAAATTATAAAAAATCAACCGATGACGTCATTGTGACGTCACTTCGAACTTTCTATACTTGTACCGTTATCTACTTACCGACCAAGTTCATTACGATCGGAACTTTCCTTATGTGTGTTTTAAAATATCGCATTTTTTGATGACGTCATGATGAAGTCATACACTTTTCAAAATGTTTCGGCAAATACCTATTACCTAACGAACCAAATACAAAAAGAATTTTGAATTTTGCATGTTGCGTTCGTGAGATATGGCTTCAAGGTCCCAAAATTCAAATATTCATATAAAATCGCATGATGACGTCATCATGACGTCACCTTATTTTTTTAACCTATAACACATCCCGGTCTACCGACATACCAAGTTTCAACCCAATCGGATTTACAGTTCCGTAGATATAGCACTTCAAAACATGCACGTTTGTGATGACGTCACGTGACCCATGATCACGTAATCATGACGTCACTCTTAGGGACACAACTTTGCTATAATGACAATGCATTTTATTTTCTTGACAAAACCCAAATGGTCTCAAATATCAACAAACAGCACAGTAGCCGAGGATGCATGAGTGGCAAAGTGCTACGGGCTAAAAATTTTAAATGCAAAACAGGGACACTTAAAGAGGCAAAATCGGGACGGCAACATTATTTAACGGGACAAACATTGTATTTTGCGACGAGTTAACAAAACCCTTTGGCAGCCTATCCTGAAATAATCCTTTTCTTTACGATTTCAGAAAACCTTTAATATGCAATTTTTTATTCCCATTTATATATACAGCGATTGAACCAAATATGGAAATTAACATCTTTGAAATACAAGTCTCTGATGGGTACTTTTCAATGGGTATTTTTTTCGAATCGGCAGCAACATTTCTGCAAAATCGGCAGCCCTCGTGACCTGCAAAAAATGTAGCTATCTCTAGCTAAAATATCTGAACTCTCAATAGTCTTTGATTTAGATGGACTGAAATGTTGATATGTATGGGCTTACACTCTGCAAGTGGATTTATGGAAGTAATTGTGACATATTTTTCTTAGTGACATACAACATTTGAAGTGTGATGTGTTACGTACCTTGTATTGGCGCGTTGGCAGCCCTCCCCAACGAGTCCCTAATCCTTCAGAGACTGGTCTCCACCAGCGTTGACTTTATCCTGATACAAACGTCTATGTCTCTCCTCTCCTTTGCAATTTGAAACCACTCGGTTGGCTTTGCGATGCCCATGCATCCATGATACGCCTTCGTCGGGGTAAATCTCCAATGTGACTCGCTACTGGCTTCGCGAGCTCTTATAAATTGTAATCATGAAATATAGTGGCGTGATATTTTCTGCAAAGGCCGGCACGGCCCAGAGCCTCAGCACAATGCATCACAGGCCCTGCCCCGACGCGCTCGATTGAGTGATTTCATTGGCTGCCTGACGACAGTTTTGCGTAATTTGACTATCAATAGCATTATTTCCTCGATTGAGTGATTTCATTGGCTGCCTGACGACAGTTTTGCGTAATTTGACTATCAATAGCATTATTTCCTAATAAGGGCCTGATAGCCGCTACAAGTGGCAAAGCCCCGGTTTTTTTTGGAGAATTGCCAAACATGAACAGCATGCGGCAGGGCATGCTATTCCGTCTGTTTGCAAGATCTCATCTTTGGTAGAACTTGTACCTTGAACCTTTGAAGTCCCCGCCACATAATGCTCTGCACTTGTGTATTACGCATGCGCCCGGAACATGGTGGTTATTTTTGTACATGTGGCACTTATATTATGATTGTTCCAAAGCACCTAGTGTAATGCAGATCCATATTTCCTTTTTTTTCAATACTTTTCTCATTGTCAAGTGGCTTAGTTCCAACCTTTGATAAGATCATGACCGACTGGACCAAAGCATAAAACCTGGCAAACAGACTCTTTTAGTCCTAGAGAAGACATTTGGAAAGGGTGCCGTGCCACCTAAAATTCTTTTGGAAAGGAGCCTTATTTGCATGTATCTTACTATCCGTTGCTTAATATAAACATTGTATTTATTTACATATTTTGGGTTTTTGGGTTGACCTACCCTTACTTAAATAACATTTTTCTAAAGCATAATCGGGTGCACCACGAAGTGGCAAACCATCCATAGGCTTTGTACACACCATACGTCACTTTGTTGTGGGACTAACGATATAAGCCACTACATATTTATGGGAACCGTGAAACATCCAACATGGATTATACCCTGTGATTCTCGCTCATTTACTTTTCCCCCAGATATCATCAAGTAGTCTTGCCAAACCTCGCTAATGATCAACTTCAAACTCACAAATATGATTATACATGTATACTGGCACATTTTGACCTTTATATAATTATGTGGAAAATCTCATCAACAATGAAAACATCTTGACACGTAGGACTCCCACGATAAAGAAGAGGTGCCCGTAATTTGGACTAAAATTGGACGAACGGTTGCCTAGCAGGGGTACTTGATAATTTCAGGGACATCACAAAATTGACCTTTAACCAAAATGACGTTGAAATTATATAAACAACCATAATCTATTATTATAACAGATTATCACAGGCCGCTGTTCTTTTACAAACTTTTCACATTAACTAGAAATGAATAATACGAGATCAATATTTTGTTTAAGCGCTCGTAAGTCGATAATACGTAGCTCTGGCTCTTTTTGTTAAATTAAGTACGTTAGAATACCTTTCATGATTTCCATCAGGCCTTAAATTATCCAACATTGATTCTTGGCTGTCTTATGTAAAACTGAATATCAATATTGACTTACTCATACCAGGGCATACTTCAATATTGTGGTGTTTGCCCTGTTTAATTATTAAACCGTTGACGCACATCAACAAGAATGTGTTTATGCAATGTACGTCTGTACCAACCTGACTCATACGACTCACAGCCAAAAAAAGGCCACTTCAGTCCACCTGTTATAGGTTTCAGTTTCGTTTTCATGTTGTACTTTAACCCCTATGAATAGTGTGTGGCATCAGGTGATTTGCAATGTCAAAGTCGCATGGCTTTATGGACTGGTAATAAGACTATCTAGGTAAAGTGGCGAAGCTGGGTTTTTCTTCTAAATATCGTTTGAATTCGGACAAAAGCTTGGAACCTTGGAAATGTTTTCAAATTATCACTGAATCTAAAGAGGTACCCCTTAAAATTTGACTAAATTTGGGCGGACAGTTACCTAACCCGGGGACTTGTTTGTTTGCTTAATTCTCGCGATATCTGCCGGATAATGGCTGTCCAGTGTTCCCTGTCCCCCATAACATCCAGTAGTTCTTCTTTTAGGAGGCCTGTATCGTAACAAAGGCTGTCAACGTAGGTAATATTCGGTCCTCCTGTGGGTCGTCTGCCATGGGAGGAAGTCCAGAGCACCAGGCTGCTGACAGCAAGCTCAGGATTCATGTGACAGTGCCGCGCAAATCTTAGTATCCTTGCCCTGAGCTTGTCACTGATTTTTGGTAGTGTACCATGCAAGGCTGTCTAAAGTTGTCCGCTGTAAGGGAGAAAATTAGGATTAGCTTGCAGATTTTTGAAAAACGTACGTGGATGGCTAGAGTTGTCCTCGATTAGGGGGACTAAGTGGCACCAGAGGGGAAATGTTTGGGTGTTTGTACGTCCTGGATGTCTAGAGTTGTCCACAATTTTAGGGACAAAATTGACATTATTTGGCAGAAATATGAGTTCAGGATCTGGAAGAATTTGTTAGTCATGGATGTCTAAAGCCGTCCACGTTTTGGGGTCAAAATTGCCACTATTTGGCGAAGTTTCGAATTTAGGATCTGGAAGTGTATTGTTCGACACGTATTTCTACGTGGATGGGGGGGGGGAGCGTCTCCGCGATTTGTGGGACAAATTGGCACTGCTGACGGAATTTTTTAGGTCCAGATCTGGAATAATAATGATTAACTGATAGTATGGAGAAATGCAAATACACAAGAATAAAACATGTATTTTTATTGCTCCATGCTAATATGGGGGCAAATTCCAATGTTTAGATGTTTGACCTGGTTAATTGTTGAAGCGTTTTTCTCACATCAACAATAACTATATCTCGACAATGCTTGTATTACAATGTACGTCAGTACCAACCTGGCTCTCGTGTCGTTTATGCACTTTAACCCCTGTGCATGGGGTGTGGTATCAGGTGATTTGCAATGTGTTAAAGTCACAGGGCTTCATGGAATGGTATATGACTATCTTCAGGGTACAGTGGTAAGGCAGTTTCAAGAGAGTAAACAAAGAGGCAAATATTGACTCAACCTTCCATCGCCCAAAAATAATAGACAGGGGTTTTAAATGTACTAGTATTTAAACATTGTAGTTCCATAAGTCTCTTTAGTTGCTTGTAAAAGTACTATCAAATGCAAGTCAAGACTGTCGTTGATCATTTGTAGTGCGTCAGTATACATGTATATAGCGTTTGCAGTGCGTCTTTATACAACTCCAAGAGTTTTACCGCCATCAGCATGATTAAATGTTGTATTTACTCCAAAATCTTTATAATTCGGGCATGAGCTTGGGAATTCGGATTTTTTTCCACAAATCTGTGGATTTGAGGAAAACCCTCCAAACCGCAGGCAACTTTTATAAGCTTTTATTACGAAGTTTGGATGTATTGAGTGGCGAGCTTGTGTTAGGATGTGTGCCGAAAAAAATACATGCTCATGTTTGCCAAACAAAATGTATTGTGCATGCATAAACAATGAATGTGAGCTCAATGATGAGCCAAAAGTGCACTTCAGGAAAAGTAAGGATTACGCATGCGAAAAACACTTCTCGCAGCACTTTATGAGTGCAGTTATTATATATTTTTGACAATATTGAAATACGTGTCACAATTAGGTTTTCATTTTTATTCGCATGCATTGTGAGGACGACTACCTCGTGAAAATTGTTTTTTTTGTGCCACTTTTCTAATCGAACGGGATAACAGTGCCATTACAAATGTATTTCGAATGTTTCTGAATTTCTGGGAATTTTCCCGAGGTCATCTTGTGATTTCCATACTCCATTAGTGGCCACGCCGACCGCAATACTTGACCCTCGAAACATGCGTTCAGACACTTTACTTGTGTAGTTATGTGCTATATAGGCCGAGATATAATTATAATAATAGGCCGAGATATAACACATAATATTCCGGTATTAGCGGCTCTAATTTGCATATTTCTATGCCACAGACACATGTGGTAACTTCCATAATAGTTGTGATCTCTGACCTCGCAAACATGGGTTTAGAAACCTAATTCGTTCATTTATCTGCAATATTGGCTGATATAAAGTGAAATTTAAAATAGATTGTTCGGTAATGGCGGCACTAATTTGTATAAAAAACAATACGTGGGGCATTTTTGAATCTTTTAACATAGCAAATCATTGTCTACGCATTTTTTCTGATCTACAGACATCAATTAGAACTTAATTGCTGAGAGGGAACGATACTCTGTGTACAAAAACAAGTATCGAATTGCAGCGCAGCGACCATTTCACTCCTCATTATTATATTCATATCATTGGGCAATCAGTGCCACGAAAGAGAGCAGCTAGTGCGAGCGTATTACGCCACGCCATGGCGACGAGGTTGAATAAAACGGATTCTCATAACCAATTTGACATAGTTTTCACAAATCCTATTAATTATTTCCTATTGAATATTTCTTGTTGATTATTTCCTATAAATTATTGAATTTTGTTTTTGAAACCCCTTTTCTCAAAAGTATATGTGGTCTGGCTCGTCAATTTATCCCACAATGGTGCTTTGTTGATTATCTAACAATAAACAACTACATCAATTATCTAATACTTGACTCCAATATTGTGGAGTTTGCTCGGGTTAATTAACTTGTTTACGCGCATTAACAAGAGTTATCTGGATAATGCTTTGATAACGATGTACGGCTGTACCACACTGGCTCATCTTCTCGGTGGTTCACCAAGATAACAGGGTAATTAAGTCAAAATTTGTTTCGTTTATGCACTTGAACCCTATGCACTGTGTGCGGTTTCAGGTAATTTACATTGTCCAAGTCACATGGCTTTATGGACTGGTGATAAGACTATCTTGGTGAAGTGGTGAGGTTGGTATTTTCCCCCATACCTTTGGATCATTTGGGCAAAAAGCTTTGGAACTTGGGAATGTTTCTTTCTTCGAACTTTCATTACATTTTTGGATGTTGTGCGTTTTGGATAACCGCAGGCAATCATATTTACTTTCAGAATGAAGTGTGGGT